GCCTGCGCGGTGCTGCTGGGTGCCAAGGTGGGAGCGGGCACGGCCGGCGAGGGGGCTCCGCTTTGGGTGGGGCCTGGCAGCGCTCCTGCGCCTCCCCTCCCTTGCCTCTGAACCCTGCTTCTCTCACCCCTGGCCGAGATTCTGTTGCTGGCGATGGAAATCACTCTGTGCATGGGCAGAGGGGACCGCAGGACTCAACACTGGTCTGGACACGTGACAGCACCGCAGTCCCCCCTCCCCCGCCAAAAAAAGGTCTTCTGGGCGGGTCAGCTGCTGTTTGCATGGTTAAAAGCCCGGTGGCTGCAGGTCTACATTCCATGAACAGGGTTTAATTAATCTGGGTTTATTTGTCTGGGGCTTAGCACGTTCCACAAACCCAGCCCTCTTGGGGGGGTTAGATGTGTGTGTTTATGTATGTGTGTATGTTGGGTGAATCCAGCCACTCTTGTGTGTGTTTGTGTGTGTGGAGCGAGGACGATGTCAAAAAAAAAATTTTGTTTTTACTTTCTTGTGTCTGGAATGAAAAGCGACGTTGCGTGTGTTTCGGTTTGGAAGCAAGCAGTGTTTTTGCATCAAGTTCCTCCCCCCCTTCCCCTTTGCCAACTAAAACTAGTGAAAATCCCCAACCCCTTTTCTTATGTAACTTCCTTTCAGCCCCCCCCCCCCCCTTGCCCCCAATAAACCGGGAAAAACCCCCACCCCCTTTCTTTTTTGACAGCCCCTCCTGCCCCCCCCCCCCCCGGAACGTTTTGGCTGAGAGAAGAAAGGAAGCTTTAGATTAGGACCCTGTTGCGTGCCTCTGAGCATGGGTTGAGGGTTTCTTTTCTCCCCAGGACCGTAGCGTTGCAAGGGCCCCCCGAAGTCATCTAGTCCAACGCCTGCCCAGTCCCCCTCTTTCTTGCTCAGTGTTGCAGCCCCTCGGGGTGAGCGGCTGGGGGGGTTCACGAAGCGAGTAGGAGAACTGCGCTCGGATTTTGGCCCCATCACCAGGTCGCGGCGCGCCGGGGTTGCTTCCTGCCCTGCAAATGGAAGGGGAGAATAACGTCTTCTCCTCTTGCCCCCACAGCAAGGCAAGGCCTGGGGGCCCGCCCTGTGCTGACTTGTTCCTGGGAGCGTGCGGTTGGCAGGGGAAACACCCGATTGAGGTGCCCAGGGCCCTGGGTGGGAAGGCAAAGGAACAGCGAGTCACACCACAGCAGATTCCAGCTTCTCCCGTTGGATTCTTCTTGGGGGGTGCAGATAAAAGGCAATTTTAGGTCCCTGCCCGAAGGGGCTTGCAGTCTGAGTTTGGAAGACTGGATAGGAAAAAGTGGGGAACTTTGAGAAACGCCCAGTGGCACCTCGGTAAGCTAATTTCACATTGGTAAGCGTGTCTCAAGGCAGCGTAGGAGCCCTGCTTGTTTCACAGCAACCCTGCGAGGTAGGTCAGGCTGAAAGATAGCGGCCTTAGATCAACCAGTAAATTCTGCAGCTCAGTGCAGGTTTAAACCAGGTCCTTGCCTTCTTAGGTTTGGGGGTGTTTTTAAGATGGGAGAGGGTTTGAAAGAATAGCGTGATAAAAAAGAGGGAGGCATTTTGGAAGGAAATGCAACATCTGGGGAGACCTGAGTTCAAGTCCACCCTCAGCCGCGGAAGCTCACGGAGATGGCTTTGGGCAGGCGAACTGTCTTAGCCCAGTCTACCCATCAGGGTTGTTGTACGTAAAATTGAATGAGAAAGTACCCCATACTCCTTAAGCCATCAGAGACTGACCATTTAAATTGATCTTCCAAACTGGCTTTATTATGTATTTATTATTATATATTTATGATTTATTACTATTGCTTATAGAGGAAAGGCAGTCCCTCGAAGTAACGTCTTTATGTACAAAGGTGTCTAGCTGTCCAAAACTCACACCCGACAGGGAGCTGGGCACACTTCGACCATCCCCAGCTCGGCATCTCTCTTCCAGGCGTAATTGGAGCCAGGGGGACCCCGTGGATGAATTTGGGGGAGCAACAGAACGGTTTCTCCTCTCGTGTCCCTGCAGTGGCTGCTTTAATGGGGTGGATGTTGGAAATGACAGACCGAGCAAGTTGGTGGGAAAGAGGAAATCCAGCACAGAAGCTTTGCTGGGGAAGTGACGTGGAGCAATGATCAAAGATTGGGGGGGGGGTGTTAAGTCCAAATCTGAGCACCCCTTCCTGTTGGCTGGGGCCTCCCAGAGTCGCTTTGTGTGAGATGGGCGGCTATATAAATGCGATGCGTAGTTCAGCAGAAGCTTGGAAACTTCTCGATTGCCGCTCTTGGAAAATTGAGTCTTGGAAAATGGAACTTTTTCTCCTTCCTGTGGGCTGGTTGGCAGAGAGGTTTTGAATATCTTTCCATCCGATGCGGTGCGGGTCCAGTTGTGGAATGTCCCTCCGATCGCTTTCCGCCATCTGCGTCGCTGGGCGCTTTGCAATGCAAAGGTTTGAGGGCAGTTCCAGAAGTGTTGGAAAATGGATTGCACCATAAAAACAGCCACTGCTTTGTTTTTTTTAAGAGCTAAAAATAAGCCCAGACCTTTTGCCTCCAAGGGTTTTTTTTTCGGTCAGATTGGGTTTCTTTCGTAAGGTGTGTGTAGATGGGTGAGGCAGAGAGGGCTGATGGTGGTGTCGTAAGCTGGGGATGGATGGGAAGTGTGTAAATCTTGGGTTTAAATTTCACCTCCAGCACAAACTCGGCCAGGTGGCTTTGAATAAGACAGATGTCTGGTGCAAAGTGAGATTATGCCTCTGTTGCTCTGGATCACAGGGAGGCTTATTCAGAGCGCGGTGTGTCACACACTTTGAAAAGAAAAAGTGTTTTTTATCAGGCTTTGCTTTGTCCGCAATTTGTAGGTGGTTCTCAGGCACGGTACAATTTATCTTCTTTATTTCCTTACCAAATTCCTGCCCTGCCACGTTGCATAGGAACTGGAGGTGGTATAGAATTAAAACCACAAAGAACAGCCGATCCATAGATTAATCTATACAACTCGTCTTGCCTCTTGGCCTGGAGGGGATTTGAACATTAAATCCCAGTTTTGTCATTTTATTTATTTATTTATTTTGGAAAGATGCGGTCGGTGGGTCTCACGGTTGTTTAATCCCTTTTGCGCTTTGTTGGTTTTGCAAAAGCGAGATTGGAACTCGGTGCCAGTTCTTTACGGAAGGGCAGAATTAAAGGCAAAGAGCAGATCTGACCGAATGCCATCCTAGGATTTGCACCGCCGTGATAAGATGGTCGAAAAGCAGCTGTTTTTCTGCCCTCATCACGCCGCAGATGACTGACCGGCAGAACTCTTGAAGCTGGCCTGGATCCTTTTAGGAAGATGGGGGCATGAAGAACATCTGAAGGGCCACTGAGAAGGATGTTTTGGGCCTCCAGAGGCTAAAATTGCTCCAGTTAGTTTCAAATTGGACTCTCGCTGGACAGGTCCTCCCAAACTGGCACAGCTTATCCTGCAAGGGAATTTCCTGATGGGGACGCACGTAGAGCTGACTTGGTGTTAATCGTGGCTGGGAAATGCACGTGTGTATGTGAGAGGGAACTCCACAACGTTGTGGGTTTTGATTCCTTCTGTTTTCCACCCCTCCCCAGTTTTCCACTGGTGGTCAGTGTTTAAATCAGTGTTTCTCAAATTTGGCCACTTGAAGATGGGCGGACTTCAACTCCCAGGATCCCCCAGCCAGCAAAGTCCGCCCATCTTCAAGTGGCCAAGTTTGAGAAACACTGATTTAAATGGCAGGTGCCAGTTTTAGAGAATAAAGTAAGTGAAAGTAATAAAAGAATAAAAAAGTAATGCAACCAAACCAGGAAGAACAAGGCCAAGGATGAGGATTGTGTTGTGAGCCGAAGATCTGAAGGAAGAGGGAATGGGTCGAGAGGAAGGGAAAACAGGACGAGGGGTAGGACGGAGTTGATGAGATGCTGAAGAAAGAAGGGGTGAAACGTTGAAAGAATAAAACACCCCCACTCAGCTTCCTTTCCTTCTCCTCCTCTTATCTTTTAATTTCTTTGTCCTGCCGTGTCTTGCTCCTTTTCTATGCGCTGCCTCGCATCGATAGGCATGGAAGCGCGTGTGAAAGAACCGTCATTTGCGCGAGGACGATCTCTTTCTCCCGTCTTTATTTTCCTCCGCAGCCGAGCCTCGTTTGGATCTCCCCGAGGGACCGGGACCCTTTTAACTTTGCCCCCTCCCTTTCGCAGGGCGAACAAGATGCCGGGAAAGGGGTGGAAATGCGGAGGCTGGTGCTCAAGGACTTTCTGGCCAGCGAGGAGATGTACATCAACCAGCTGGAGGCGCTGCTGTTGGTGAGTGCGGCTGGCCAAGGCAGGGGTTGGGGGGGTCACGTGCGCCTCGTAAATGGATTTTTTTTTATTATTATTTTTTTTACTATGGAAGTTGGAGAATTGCAGATTTTTTCGCGGGGGCGGAGTGGGGAGGAAGACGCCACACGAGCATGCAAAAGGAAGAGGGTGAAAACTCTGTCCTTTTGGCAGCCGTGGGAACAGCCTCTGTTTCCCCACTGACGGCCAGTCGTTTTCACTTTGAAAGCTTGCATGCAAGGAGTGAAAGCTGTTTGTGGTTTGTTCCCTAAATTGGGTTCTTGCGAGAAGAGAGGCCTTTCTGAGGTCTCTCTTCCCGCAGTGGTCAATAAGGGCTCTTGGATCAAAGAGAACAACTTTTGTCTCCAAAACAGACGGCAAGGCACTTTTAGGAAGTTTATTCTGGCTTCCCGAACATTTGGTACTCCCTGGCTGACCTTGTTGGGGGCTGGAAACTATAGAGGGTTGAGCTTGGCTACTCCTTGGATGGGGGACCACTAGGAAATCCCAGAAGAGTGTGATGGAATGGAATTATGAAGGCCAGGCTCAGGGAGAAAAACATTTTCTTTCATCTCCTGAGGCGCGTGGGAGATACAAGAGGATGAGACTGCCAACTCCCTGAGGAATTCACAGTCTTGTGGCTGGCATTACTTGGGAGCTGGGGTTTCAGTCTGGGAAGATTCTTGCTAGAGGT